AGTGCCAGCCTGGGACAGGAGCCCTTTCTCAGGCTGGGAACTGGGCCCTGTGGACCCAGTTCTGGCTCTAACTCTACCGTCAGAAAGAACTGTGTGTGTAGGACGCCAGGACGCCAGGCACACACGGGAACACGTTAACACCCACACCGTCACCATGGCAACTGGGCACTCACGGGGCTGAAGAACTTACTGAAGACACGCTGCAAAAAAACCACCATCTAGGCATCGAGCTCACGTGCCTCCCCCCAGCTACACTGTCCTCTGGGAATAGACACACCCCTCGGCTTCGGGCAGACTAAGATTTCTGTGCCTCAGTTTCCTCAATGATAAAGTGGAGGCATAATAAACATCTGAGTTTACATCTCCCGCCTCAAAAATTCTGTGATTTTACATTGTGTCAAAAAAAAAAAAAATCACAGGAGAGAGAGAATGAGCCTTTTGCCAGCACAGACGAGTTTGCCTCGCATGGTGTGTTTCACGGCACCGCGTGCGCAGATCCCATGCGTGTCTCCCGGCGCGGGAAGAAAACCCCAAAGCACGGTCTCCGGAGCCTGAGGCCTCTCACGAGATAATGAATCCACTCTGGCGTGGCGGGGACGGGACGGGACGGGTGGGGCGTGTGCTTGGGCACGATCGGCGCTGGAACCGGGACACAGTGGGACACACTGTCCCCGTTGCTCAATATTCCTCGTAATTCAGAGCCTACGGCTGCGAAAGCGCCGCCTCAACAGTGGCCCTGGCCCGGGCGCGTGCGGTGGTGTCTGGTTGCTAAGACGCCGAGCAGACCGCGGGGCAGTCTGCACTCCTGGTCAAGTACGTCCGCGTGGTGGTTTCTCTCCCAAGGACAGTCTCTCCGTCGCTTCTCCGAGCGTGGAGGGCGGGGAGAGAGAGACACCCGTGTGGGAGACACGGCGACCGGCTGCCTCCCGCACTTGTCCCCACTGGGGCTGGGGGTCGAGCCTGCGACAGAGGAACGTGCCCTTGGCCAGAACCGAACCTGGGGCCCTTCCGTCTGTGGGCTGACGCCAGCTGGGGCACCTGAGTGTTCTCCTTCAGGAGCTTCGCTGCATTTTATAAAGAGTAAGAATTAAATACGACAGTTCTGGAGGGGGCGGCGGGCAGGGGACCAGGGGACACCACTCCCTGCAGCGACCC